ATTTTCAAAAAGGATTGAAAATAATTATTTTAACGGTTATATTTTCACTGACCGATCATCAAAATAGCTCTGAGGATGAGAAGAGTGGACGATCATGTTTATGCACGATTCTCAAGAGGAATTGCTCGCAGTGGGAGTGAAGCCAAAGGCCTGTATATTTTACTCCGCTTTAAGGAATTAGGAATACCTACTTTTATTAATAACTCCACGCACTCAATAAATGACTGAAAGGTATTTTATTTAATGTGTAGGATACCAGGCCGGGCTATTTTTAGAATAGCACATGTTTGTTTACATTTTGTACAATATCCAAGTGTTATAGTTTCAATGGCTTTTCAGGCGTTTTTGACTTCATAAGTCTTGTTGGCCTGCTATCCTACACATTAAATGAAATATCTTTCATTCATTCATTGAGTGCATGGAGGTATAAATAAAAAGGTATATTTAATTTCTTCAAGCTGAGTAAAAAATACAGGCCATTGGCTTGACTTCCACTGCGAGCAATTCCACTTGAGAATCATGCATAAGCATACAATCGCTATTTTGATGATTGATCAATTAAAATATAACCATTAAAATCATTATCTTCCATCCTTTTGGAAAATTTAAAAGACCAAAATGATCGACCATATTCACAAAGCATCGTGACGTCATCAAAATAAACAGACGCCATGACACCTTGAGTTGGTATTGATATAGCCTTTACCTTGTTTTGATGCCACGATTCCATTGGACAAAGCTGATGGGTCTTTTCGCAGTGTGAACACCACGTAAGGGTGGGTTGGTTCCAGCCCACAGAAAATCGCTGGATTCAAGTGAAATTTATGGGTAGTCTGACGGTACCTTTACACATATCTCTAACACACACACACACACACACACACACACATACACACACACACACACACACACACACACACACACAGGCACACATGCAAGCACTAAGACGTCAACTTGATGAATAATTAACGCGAGCATTGCTTCATTTCCATAATTTCCAACATTCACTGGAGTCCAGCTGTGGCGATACCATCACCTCGGAGCATGGCTCCTCCCCACTTCCCCCGATCTCGCTTGCTCTGCCCTTTCCCAGCTCTGTTGTTGGGCCATAATGGAGTGCCGCTGCTGTAAATACTTTAGTGTCATACATTAAGTACCATAGAAAAGGGAAATAAATAGAAAAGATAATGAGAAGACGCGAAACGAGTGAGCCAGTGGTTGATAAGTAGTTAGGTGTAGTTAGGTAGTCAACCGTTTGCCTGGGCAAGGTGGTAAACGCGGACACCACCGAGCCACTGGTCAGTCTCCAGCCGGTGTTCGTAGCAGCTGGTTCTCCTTGGAGCCTTTTGGGTAATATTTTATTCAAATTTTATTTTTTCGTGTTATTTTGCTTCCATTTTTACTGTTTTATTCTTACAAAGATTTATATAATACTTTCCCAATATTTATGTATTTTGTATGTAATAAAGTTTCTGTGTTTGTGCCCATTCCTCTAACCAGTCTCGATGTGTGGATATTTGCTATTCGCCATCTTGCAGCCTTTGATCTCCGAGCCCCTGACGCTTCCGAACACCCCCCCCCCACCATGCCACGGGGTTGCGGCTGCCTCATGCCTCTATGCAGTGACCGAGGAAGTCTAGTGATGGAAACCTTTCCAAGTCTAGTGGCAAAGCTTTATGTAGGCGCAATTTATGTCCTTTATGGACTTTCGGTTTATCGCGCGTAAATGAATATATTATTTTTTATTGGATTCTTATGAGTCTGACACAAAATCAAGCTATCAATCTTACAACCTCTTCCAATGTTTTGGTAAAAACTTCACTCAAATAAATACAATTGGCTTCAGAAAAGTATCATATGCTATCCCGTGTTCAAGAATCTTAAAAGATTGGTGTAGGAAAGAAGTTTCGGAAGATATCCAATAATATGTTTATGGGCATGATGCGAGGTATATTCCGAATTAGGAGTGAGCGGTGCTCCGAAAAAATGTAAAAGGAAAAGAAAAAGATACACTGCATACATAAATAACGACGAAGGCATGGGCGACTGGTGGCTCATCAGATTTGGATTGGTACATAAATATTTTGTCGATTTGCTCGTGTGCATGTTTCTGAGGACATAATTAAAACGAGTTAACATATTTTACGACACATTTGATTTTCAAACTTACAATATGCGAATATATAAAGATCGTGTCATTTTTTTACTTTTCAGCTGTTTTTTTGCATTCATGTTGGGTTGTAGCTTATATTTTGATTTGCTGATTTTCTTGGTTTGGGTTGATTTGATGAACTATGAAATAGTAACAGCTGTTTGAGTGGCCACACGAACAGTGTGTGGGGGAGAGTCCGATGCCTAGGTTGATGAAAGAGAAAGCGAGAGAACATTTCAGGTTCAGTCATAGAGAGGGAGACTGACAAATAGACATAGAGAAAAAGACAAAGAGAGAGACATAGAAATCGTATAATAGCAGATAAGGAGCAAACGGAAGAATGACGAAGAGACAACGATACAATTCAATGTTTATCAAATGTGAACTCTACCTAGGATGGTGGCCCATTCTCCCCTCCATTCCATTTTTCTCCCAACTTAGCACACAACGTAAAACTTCAATCCATAGATCACACTATTCTTAGCTTGAAAGGCCCGTTCATTCTTGTTGGTGACTCCTGCTTCCCACGGCACGTTTACAGACGGTGGTGACCGTTACCCTCGACCGGCCAGTGCGTCAACGTGGGTGGGGCCTACAAAGGGGCAAATTGTGATTTTATTCTGATTGGTTCGTTTCGAGGAAAAGTAATAGGCACCAATTGAAATATTGAAAGATGATGAAAAAAAATCTAGTAAAAGCGGTTGCAGATTATTTTATCAGTTCCTCTCAAATATGTTTAGTATCTGATATAGCTATCTCCCTTTGCTTAGAATAGAAAATCTATAGAGAGAAAGTCCCACAAACGAACGTGGATCAAATGTAAAATGATCTTTCAACGTTACTTCAAATAAATAACTACATTTTCCCTTTAATTCCAGGCAGTGCTGAGTGTCACATGATAGATACTGCACACCCCGTCCTCCCTTAATCGCACCAGCAGACCAGTCAAGTGATAACCATATTGCTTTTGCCGTCATTGCGAATGCATGCTTATAGCGTTGCGAAAACGCAAAGCGATGGAAAGAATACAATATGTAGGGGCTTTTCTTGCTCTAGCTACTCTTAAGATGCCTTACGTCACGCGCTTGCTTTATGAAACTTGTTCCGCCAAACTGGAGCTCCCCGGCAAGAAGTGCATGTTTCTCACGCTTACTTGCCTGAATGTTCCACCTACAGAAGGTAACTGACTGTACAATCCGACGAAGCAAGCTCCAAACCTTTTCATTTTCTGAGTATGTCCGTTTCCAGCTGACGTTCTTTTCATAAATAGCTATTAGATTTGAGAATTCTGAAATTACTTAAGGAACTGTTACAGCGTTGCCATAGATTAGGTGGAAATTTCCAATTGAAGGTTAACAGTTGATCTAGAATCAACATTTTCAAGACCCGCAACCTATCATAAGGCGCATTTTTGAGCGAGCAGGCTTTGGTTTGGTTTGGTTTGCTTCGTCTTGCCGAGTTTGTCAAAATCAATCCCAACATCCAGCTTGCTACCAATGTAAATAGCCTACTGCAATATGAAACGACTTCTTCCCCTACATGGTGGGCGGCAAAATTATTCTCGGAAGAACACAAAATGGACGCACGCTGTTAGTAATGATAGTGAAATTTCAAACTGCGAGTTTAGAATGAAAATAAAGGTGGATAAAAACGCATTTCGAACATCACCAGGATGGCCTTATTACAGTTATAAATAGCTAGTACATATCAGTATACTACAAGTTAATACAGATATGATAATGACTTGCTAGTTTAGAACATCCATTGGCGACGAAATTGGTAAATTATTTATTAAATTATTAAGAGAATTTCTTCGTTATTACTCATTTGTAAAACAGATATGATAATGACTTGCTAGTTTAGAACATCCATTGGCGACGAAATTGGTAAATTATTTATTAAATAATTTCCGTCGGCCATGTTGGCGGTTTGTTTACCATTGTGACGTCATGAAACTAGCAAGCTTCCTCTGGAGGTAGTTGGAAGTGCTTGGTTTGGTTACGAAACCGAAACCGAGATATCTGACCAAGAAGTTCCGTCAAAAACAAATATGAACAAGAAGTTTTAAGATTTTTCAAGAAATCTTGAAATATCTTGCAGTCAAAATGCGCCTTTAATTAATATTAAAAAAAAAAAGTAAACAGGATTCTAATAACATGAAAACCGTCAAACATGCGTAAATAAAGGTATACAATTGCAACTTGACCTCTACTATTAAGATCCATTAAAATAGTTTCCGCGTTATCATTAGCATTCTGTATTTGTTTATTTTATGCGTTACACATTATGATCTTCTCTTAAACATTACATCGCATACTGTGCGAAAGTATTTTTAAAGATTCATTTCGACGAGTCTCGCAGATTACGCGAGAGACAAAGATGCTAGGCAGATGTTATTATTGTTGATGATTCTTTTAATCAGACCTGTTTGGATAATCTCGATAAAAAGGCAATAGGGATAGGACTAATGGGACTGTACTGCAAGTCTTTATTCGTGTAATTGCATATTTATATTATATTATATAAATTATTTTTTTTATTTTTTGATGAACATTACAAAATTCCTATATGCGAATTTATATCAAACTTTATTTCACAGAAATTGGTACTTAAACAACGTATCTTGACGCGCTAAATTATTACTTATCCCAGTAAACAGACGGAAATCTTTTATCCACTTAACTTAAGAAACCCCATTTTAGAATTGACTGATTGATTATTTAAAATGGTTTGCAGCGTTAACAGCTGAGGTGATTAGCGGCGAATCTTGTGGGATTACAATGTTAAAATCTTTAAAACGTTTGGTAAATTTGTGGAGTCACGTTTTGATTGATCATTCTAAATTGACGATTAATTCGTGAAAAAAAAAAAATCTCCGGGTTGGAGTGACGAAGCCTGAACAGGAGCGTGCAGGCGTCAGTCAACTCTGAAAAGTCTTGGCGGGTCGACGCACTGTTGGTTGCTCGTCAATGTTTGGAATTTTCGTCTTGTGAATTATTCAAGATCTGACGTTTTTATGACAAGAGACGCCGCGTGGAACCTCTTGTGAAATTGCAAGACAGCTACAACGAGAGATAGATTCTACGTGATTCGCCAGCCAACCTATGAAAAAGGAATCAAGGGAGACGCCGACGCTGACTCCATCAGATTTTAATGTCCACTCGAGAAAAGCTGTATCAATCATCTTCCAACATGAGTGAGTTGATGATGCGTTTAGTTTGTCTTAAAAGTCAGTAATGGCCGAATATAACTTATTCATAGTCTGGACCATGCGTCCTTCAGTAGTCGTTTACTCTGATCACAGAGCGATAGTTGAATCATAAGTTAGTTGGCAGTTGAATGATAAGATAGGTGACCATAAGATAATTGATAGTTGATTCTTAAGATATGAATGTTGATTGTAACATCTAGTTAACATCTAGAAACTGGTTCTCGTTTGGTAAATTAATCGGAATATCTTCGCACAACCGATCGCGATGACTTTGGTATCAATGGGTTCCTCTCGCGTTTTACTTACCTAAATAAATTGAAACCATGCTCCAGCCACCCCACCCCGCTCCAATGACAACCTTAGTCCCGATAGCAGGGAAGGGCACGAAAGGTACCAGGGAAATTGCGAAGTAGAATATGAATAATGTTTACAGAATCGGTAACTATATTCCCGAAAGCAGATATAATTCACATTTACCCCGCAATTTCCCATGTGTCATTCATTCCCTTCCCTGTTATCGAGACCATGATTGTGGGTAAAGGGGATGGCAATGCTTAATTTCTGTGTATATGGGTAGAAAGGGTAAGAGGCATCCATCGAGACCCATATCAACAAAACATCTGAGGTAAAAAGGAAATCAAATAATTTACAAGCTTATTTCTCGTTAGAGTATTTGGTAGGAAATGAACAGAATTTCGATATTTCTTTTTTATTATTCTAGAGTTGACATTTACAGGTATCTTTTAATTGATAATAATAATGATATAGTAATAATAATGGTTTTAATTCTTACAGATAACATGAGCTAAAACGACTTTGCGTATATGCACGTTTACCTATGAATCCGACCCTCAATGCTCAAGCTCCACCGCCCATATCCGCCCATACTTGGAACAAAACGCCCATAAAATCACGAAAAAGACTCGCGTTTTACTTTTACGTATGTACGGATGGGGCGCCTTATGACTGTTTATTTACTTGTGTGTTTGTACATCACGTAAGCCTATTCATTAGTATACAGCGTGACAGCCTACAATTCTCTTTATGCCAAAATGAAAGACCTACTTTATTAGCGTTTTTGCTGTCTTTATTTCTGTCATTGACGTTTCTTTTGCTCTGCCTGTAATTCTTCTGTGTCATGCTTACCATAATTCGGTATTACATTTTTTTCATCATTTTACATCACCGAAGTTAATCAACCTTCTGTTTCAACCTCGTTCTCTTCTTTTCTCTTTCAAAGGTATACATATCTGCAATCAATCAAAAAACATTGTGACTCAATATTCGATTAAACTAATACAATTTTATTGCTTGAAAAAAAAAAAACATGTAATGACGGTTTTTGCAGATTCAGGACGATTAAGGTCTCCAAATTTTCCTCGCTTCCTGAAGTTAAACATTTCCACCATGAGGTAAATAGATTTTTGAAGTTATGTTTTCTTAATGAGTATTTGTAAGTTGAATTAATAATTTCATCTCGACTATCTTGTCTCTGTTCCTTAGTAGCACCCGCTATACTCTTTCCAATCTCAGGAAAGGAAAATTGGCAACTCGCCCTATATTCTGGAGTACTACGATTTGCCGTCATTTTTGAGAAGAAAAAATAAATAAGTTGGTGGGAAGTAACGCAAATAATGCATGTCAGTGTTGAAAATATCAAACATTCAAACATGAATATTCAATGTTAAATTATTAGAATTAAAAAGACAGGGATGTTCAATTAAAGTACTCCAGATTCCGAATTTGTCAATTTGATCTTAACCAACACTCTACGTACTACAAACGAGATTTTCATTTGCTCTTTATTATGTCATCTTTTACGCAGGTCGAAGATTTATTTAATGGGGATCCTCGCCGTGGTGGTCTGTTTAATCGTTATCGCCGTCCATACACCAAAGATTCAACATTTTCTAACAAGGTTGGCTTTATATCACATCTACGAGGGAGGAAGTGAGAGAGAAAGAGAATTTCCACAAACCTGAAAACCGTTAACATGTCCTTCACTAATCTCTAAAACAATGTAGGTACACTATAGATTACTACAATATATATAGCTTCTATTGCTTAATATATTAGATGTCAATGTGTTTCCTATTCCATTACAGGAGACCAAGTGGTGCGAGATAAACTATAATTTACATGTTTGTCTCTGATATGCACATAGGATAGGATATAAAACGTGTGTGTGCGTGTGCGTATGTAGCTAGATAACGAGATTTACACTTGGATGCATGTAGATGTTGACACGTATATAAAAGTAATATTATTAAATAACAGCCCTCCCTGACAAGGGCTCGAACCTCTGCCACTCTAGGTATGTAATCGAGAACAAGCTGCACTAAACTAACCGTTCCTTAGTTGGTTGTTGTGTGGATTAGTTGTATTGGGAGAGCATATACGTGAAGCGGCAGAGGTTCAAGTCCTTGTTAGAGAGGGTTATTTATCCATCATCGCTTTATTCCTTCTTATATATAATTATTTTTTACCTCAAGAATGGCACCATCCACTAAGCCAGTGAGAGGCTTAGGAGGCCCGGCGAAGCCTTGCGTCCGTCAGAATTCAGTGTACTTCCTCAAGGTCCCGAAGTGCGCGTCCACGACTAGCTTACAGATCTTCGTCGCGTGAGTAAATGTTACAAATACATAAAGAGAGTAAGAGATACATGGGAGGAGAAGGGCTGAAATACGAGAGATAGATGGGAAAGGGAAAGTGGCGGTAGGAGAAATAGGGGAAGTTAGTGGAAGGAACAGAGAAGCAGAGAAGAAAAAGGAAAAAAGGCAAGAAGCGAGGGGGAAGAAGAAATCAAAGCTTACGAAGAGTGACCCATAGTGACACACCTGTAAGATATGTCACATATTCAATACTTCTTATGTATAGCAGCGTCATAAAAAGAAAAATATATTGGGAAGTCTTTATAGGATATTTATCAACCTGAATGAATACATTCCAATCAGATATGGGGTCAAGTACGGGCTGACCTTCGCTCTGCCTGTCCACGTTGGACCGAAACCTATATCTCCAAAGATTTTAGCGCCAGAGTACCATGGATCCCCTGACGGTCGCTACAACATGGTAGTGTCCCACATTCAGTTCAGTAAGGCAGGAGCAAAGCAGGTGAGTCTGTGTCCTTTCAGTTGCAAATGTAATTTCTAGTTTAAATATCTGCTGATTGCCGCGTTTCATATTTTATACCTTAGCGTTTTGTCCAGTGATTATGTACATTCAGTTGATATTCAAATCAATATTTTTTGTGTGCTTTTGCAGGTGATGAAAAAATCAGCCAAATATGTCGCAATAGTACGGGAACCAGCTGCTCGCTTTGAGTCCATGTGGTATTTCGCACAATATGAAAAGGTCAGCAAGCAAATAATTATTAAGTACCATAGCCATCTTATCATATTTCCATCTACACATCTTGTATAACTTCTGGAATTTGAACAATTTCTCTTTCTCACAGAAACTTGGCATCAACCTTACGACTTTCATCAACGCATCGCATCGTACATATAAGCAAAATGGTAGACTCAATATAATTGCGAATTATTTTGGAGTCAAAGATCCCCGCGATGACGTACCAGAAGGTGAAGTACTTAGCAAGGCGAGATGGCTCAATGAGACCTTCAACTTGGTGATGGTTGCCGAGAGGTTCGACGAGTCGCTGGTCCTCCTGAAGCACCTCATGTGCTGGAACACCGAGGACGTCGCCTACGTCGAGGCCAGGGTTCGGAGGCCCACTTACAGGACCGAACTCTCGGAGGCGCAGAAGGACAGGCTTCGGCAGCTGAACAGGCAGGATGTCATTCTGTACAAGTTCTTCAGGGAAATTTTCGAGGAGAAAGTCAAGGCCTTCGGCGAGGAGAGGATGCAGAGAGAGGTCGAGGAACTTCGCCAAGCGAACGCTCGACTCATCGACGACTGTGGAGCTAAACTCACAGGGTCAAGGGGGACTGTGAAAACTTGGGAAGTAATCAACAACTCAAGTATTTGTATAATGATTACACTAGATGGAGCTGTTATCCAAGAGCAACTGAAGAAAAGGCAAAAGATGTGGGTAGCAAGCAATTTGACTTTCGACCTGTCAACGTGGACATTTACCTAAATGAACGATGAAGTTCGGAAATTTGAAATATATGAGTCAAGACAAACTAAATGAATTTTATATATGAATTTTATTTTGATTTTGCCCCCTCTCTCTATTTCCTCATTTGCAAGAAGTTGGTTTTAAGTATTTGTTCAGGTCTCACGTTATCAAACTAATGTAAGATGTGAAAGTATGTTCAGCTCACTGTCCAATTTATAATATGAATTTTAATATATACAGAAATAATAAACAAAATATGTTGTAATGCCAGATTTAGTTATCATTTTAAGGATGATATTCAAGACCTTATAGAAACAATCAAAATATAAGGATGAATCCGTATTCAAACAATTTCAATGACAAAAAAAATGTTACTGCATTATTATTATTGTGATGATAAAGACGAGGAAGAGTAGGAAGGGGAATAATGATCATTATTATCTTCATCATTATTATCATTATCGTTAACATTATTATTATTATTATAAAATGCTAAAGTAATAAAATATTGAAATAATAATGACGTTAATGATAATAACATGTGTGCAGGTTCCTGTGTGTATGTGCTTGTTTGTTTGTTGTCTTCATTTGTGCGGACATGCATAAGTGAGCATGCCTGCATAGGTATCTCGTTTAAAGCGAACATATATAAACTTAGGTATTCTGAACTTAGGAGTAATGAATTTCTAATAGCTATCTATGCTTATTCAACCAGAAATCTCTAAAATTTGCATCACCAGATCAGACCAGAAGATTGAGAGCATGAGAACATTTCATTCCAATATATGAATTACTATAAAATATTAACATGAAAGCTTAGAATGAGGCTTCAACATAAAACTACAGTAAGTAAAATTTGACCAAACTAAAAGTGAACATCAAATTAAGTGAGTAGTACACAAAGAACGGAAGATTTCTATTAAAACAGAAAAATCATTAAAAAAAAAATGGCTCTTCCACAGAGGCATGCAAGGCTTTCGTTCTCACTGGTCTTCGTCATCTCTTATCTCCCTCCAACCCATCCATTATCTGTCTCCAAGAAACCTTCCTAACACATCTTCCAAAACCGATTCCAAATTATCATTTGGCATCATCCCTTCAGCCTCTCAATCTCGTCTATATACGTCCATCAAAAAACACCATGCACTCTACCTCCTTTTCAGTCCACTGTCTCTTGCACTATTTTTCGCATCTTTCTTCGCCAATAGATCATAATTGTTTCCATTTTCTTTTCCACTTCTCTTCCTATTGGCTTTCATGCGTTTGAAGCTTTACTTTCTCCGCTTCAACCACCTTTTCTCAAACTCGATGATTTCAACTGCCGCCACACTCTACCACTACTTATCAAGGCCGTTCCTTGTAACGCTTTCTCTTTAACAATTACTGTATCCTTCTTAATTCAAACCGCCACAATCACTTTGACATACGCACCCAAACCTTTTCGTGCTTTGATTTTTTTTCTTTGCGCTCCTTCCCTTCATCTATACTTTCATAAGTCAGTTCTGGATCACTTTCCCTATAGTGATCGCTTTCCTATCCTCCTCTTTCCTACTTCCTTTGTCCCACACCCCAACTCCCACGCTGGTGTTTTGATAGAGCGGCCTAGCGTACTTTTACCTCTCTCTCTACTCTCCCTCTCCCTCCATCATCCTTTTCTTCCACATCAGACATGCTTTCATATTTCATAATCACTATCCTGAGTACTGCCTTCACTGCCATTCCACGAACTTCCTGGCCATACACATCTAAACAATGATTGCTCCAAAGTGCTTCGAAAGATTAGACATTGCTGTAAGCGAAATCAACTCAGCCTCCTCTACACCTGTCTCTATAGTATGGCACAGAATCCATAAACAATCGGCAATATCCCCTTCACCCTGCCCCAGTCCTCCATATCCGTAACACTCATTTCTGAGCCTTTACAAGTTGCTGCTGAACTTGCATATTTCAGCCAAGTCAGCAGAGGCTCTCACCTTTCCACTTCTATCCACTTAAAACACCCAAGGAACGCACTTCCATCTCCTTCTCCTTGTCCTCTACAGAGCCCTACACTGCTCCCTTCTCTACTGAACTCTGCCTTACAGTCCTGCTGCAACGCGCAGGAAGGCCCTGATGACATACATTACCATGATCCGGCGAAGGCACTTGTTTCAAAAGGCATCGAGAAGCGACTCCAAGGTATTGGATAGCGTCCAGTTTTCGCTGCCATGCAGCAAAACTGACAATATCAAGGTCTTGAAGACAGGTAACTTAGTCCCTTTGTATAGGTACCGGCACCTCCAAATACTCTTGTTGACCGAGTTCATGGTTCCTGCTGCCAGACCAATACATCTACTGACTTCCTGGTCTACATCCCAGAGACATGGACTACACTACCAAGATATTAAAGCTCTGTTATTTCAGCGTCCTTGCCTGTATCGACTGAACTGGTTCTCTTAACAGGCCCCCAAAATCCAGGAATTTGATCTTGGTCCAGAAGACCTCTATGCCTAGGGGCTTCGACTCCTTGCTAATCTAGACTGCTCCGGTCTTTGCTGCCCATAAATTTCACTGGAATCCAGCAATTGTCTGTGGGTTGGAACCAACCCACCCATCCATGGTGTTCACACTCCTAAAATCGGCTTTGTCCAGTTGAATCGCGGCATCAAAACAAATCGCAGAAACTCGTAATGGATCCCGTAATCTTCTCCCTAACTCTTGCTACTCTTTCGTGTTTCAGGAGTTAGAATAGAAGAAGAGCAAGAGAAGCAAGAAAAGACTCTGGATGAAGCCATGGCTACAGAAAAAGGACTGGTGTGTTTTTCAAAGTTGGGCGATGATAGTGTATTTTACGATTTTTATTGAATGGACAGGCTACAGTTTGATTCTGAACATTCACGGGATCTGGCGGCTACGCATGTGTTTATATTCATCAGTCAAATGAGAATCTATGGCTAATACTTTTGTTTTTATTTTATATTCGTATTTTAGCTGAAATTTTAATATAAAGATTGATATAAAACTAAATATGAGTAATTTAAATATAATAATATCTGTGCTTTGAAATGAAAATATATGCATACCTTGCATACTATAGATTTTTAACATTTTTTTCCATTCGTCTGTCGAAGGACGAGTAGGTATTTATCGCATTATACCATCGATGGGTAAATTCCATATTGAGCAATATGATCCCATGGTAGTTGCTACAGTCCCAATGATCCCCTTTCGCCTTCCAGGACAAGGGGAATGGAACTGGACTGCCAGATGGCAGCCAGGACAGAATGTATGGCCTGTGCCATACATCATTTCCATTTATAATAATCCCTCCTTGTGATTTGTGTCTGGGGGGGGAAGGAGGATTGGCAAGGCCCACCTACTCCGAGCCGCCCATTTATCGTAGGGGCTGTGGACCTAACCAGGAATAGGTGTACCCACCCATACTGGTCGTGCTACCGGGTTGGTGCTGCCAGAGCGCAGGTAAAACGAGTAGCTCCTGTTCTCATCCTGGGCCCCATCAGTCTCTCTCATAACGGGACCCACAGCCTCCCCATCATTTCCATTTATAATAATCACTCGTGATTTGTATCTGGGGGGGAAGGAGGATTGGCAAGGCCCACCTACCCCGAGCTGCCCATTTATCTAGGGGGCTGTGGACCAAGAGTTTGTAATGGGCAAGGTTGTGTCCACGCAATGCTGGGCCATGACTCTGTACCTCTGAGGCTTCCTGCTGCTCCGAGATATCTTACAGTTTACCCTGCGACCACTAGGTGCCTACGAGGAGGCACTGCAAGAGTCTGATTGAGGAGAGGCTATGAACTGGTATGGGAGGCTTATGGAGAGCTGCTCCCTGCATATATTATAATATAATAATCATTATAACCATTAACCTCAGCATTGTCATTATTACTAGTATAAATAATACTAAAATTACTATCAATATTAGAGTTATGAGTATTATTATCATTATCTTATTTATTATCAAAATTGTTACTATTATCCTTGTCCATTTTATCAGTATTTTTATCATTACCATTATCATTATTTTCATGATCATGATCATTATCATAATTGTAATTATCATCATTAATAATATTAACATTAATTTTATTTCTTTTTTAATCATTATCATTATTATAATTTTATTATCATCATCATTATTACTATTATTTTTATTATTATTATTATTATTATTATTATTATTATTATTATTACTACCATTATTATTGTTGTTATCATTACTGTTATCATAATTGGTATGATAAGTTATTGTCATTATTATTATTATTATAATTATTACTAGCATTATCATTATTGTCATTATCAATATCACTAGCATTAATGTTAGCATTTGCATTAGCTTTAGCATAAATACAATAATAATGATAACATTATTACATATTTATTGATACATTTCTGCTGCATCAACATCTAAAAGTATTATCGGCATATACAAAATATAGTAATAGGGCAAGGCAAGGGGGCGAAGTCCCCAGGTAAGGAAAAGCCATACAGCATTATGACAAAGTATTGTGGCAAAAAGGTTAGAAAAAAAAAGGAATTAACAATTAGGACAAAATATGTTAGATGTCAAAGGTTGTAGAGTACTGTAGGTTAGTATGGCAGTGGAAAGGGTAAAGAGGGAAGAGCAAACAGAGTACAAGGGCCGTTCACGATTGACACAGACTTTCATCCTTTCAGCACGGCTCTCACACTTTAGGATGTGGACAGGTGAAAGGGATGGAGAGAAGAAAAAGGAAAGGTTGAGAAAAAAGACCATGCAAAATTAGTTGAGGCAAGGGGTGAGGTCCAAGGCAGAGGTGACCCTTACACTGGGCCTCACACTCCGTCTCCTAAGCCCCCTTGGCAACAATGGGCATGGGTTTGGGGGGATGATAACAATAACAATTATTATAATAACAATCATAGTCATTACAACACTAATCATACAAATAATAATAATCATCATAATAATCATAATCATAACAATCATAATAATCATAATTATTATAATAATAATAATTATTATAATAATCATAATAATAATCATAATAACAATAATCATCATCATAATAATAATTATAATGATAATAAAGATAATAACAACAATAATATATCTTACTTCCTGAAAGACAGAGAAATCTTTATGTGAGCAAAAGGTTATTTAGCATGTTTAGCAATCATATTGAGTAAAACCAAAGGAAAATAAAAATTAAGGTGCATGATCAAAAAGTATTAACACAGCTTGTTGCAAAAAAAAGTTTTTATTGTTATAGGAACTCCTTGAAAACATTATAGGAGTTACAGTTTGTGCTAAATCCACATTACATTTTAAACTAAAACTAGAACACATATTACAGCTTTAACATTTTCATATAACCACATAACACCAATTCGCCCGATCATAATTAAAATCAAATAGAACAGAATTAAAACAAATTAAATATTACACAATATTCAGTAACACAGCAGTAAACTCTAATAAATTTTGTGCATAAACAACTTTAATTTACAAAAAGAAACAAAATGTACACAAAAAATAAATCTATTCTAACTTTAAGCTTTGGCAACTTATTAACAAAACAGAGACAGAATGTGCAAGAATCTGCATCTCTTGAGGAACAAAACATTCTAGTAACCATAATTAGCAACTTTAAAACTGCAGTCAGAAGCAACAGATACTGACCACATTATGCATATCTATGGATTAGTCAGGCAAACTTAATACTTAATGAACAGTTTACTGTGACAAAGGTAGAATGGTATAAATGATAATGAATATATTCATAGTGCAAGAGATGTATCTTCATTAATAAATACATGGATTTCTGATGAAGATTTAATCAAAACACAAAGATATTCATTTTCATTCATATAATGTTTAAGATAATGAAAATGACAGACACTGCCAACATTCCACTTATATGCATGCAAACTTTTTCTGAATTACACAGATATATCCACAGGTATTACATACATAGCAAATCCACTAATAATATTCTCACTCAAGAAAGGAATGCTGCTTTTATTGTCAAAAGACAGCTTTTTGAAGCACATCAAATTTTAAAATGTTACTTGTACTGTATATTTTTTACTGGGTCCCTAATGGAGAAGAGAAATCTGGTTATCTTCACATTTGTGTTTCTGCTTCAAACCCACTTCTTCACCAACAGGACATGCATTATGCTCATACAACTTACACATGCACCATATTTCAAGCCAAAATGCCTACTGGGTAGAGATAAGCACTTCAACTTCATGCAACTGACAGCTTCTTGTACAATATTTTAACCATACTAGGATATCCTATAGTAAGGATCAAAGCTAAATAGATAACAAACCCATTGCAAATAATGTATTATAATAGCATTTTGATCTAGTATTACTGAACTGGTTCAGGGAAATAGGACAGTCTCCTTAACCTGGTTAACTCCCGCTAAATCATTATCTTTATAAAATCTGTCATCATTCACTGCAGCAATAAATATACTGTCATCAAGTTATTGTGCCAGTGATTTTGTGTGTCTGCATTGGATCTAAAGACTGCTTTCTAAAATCCAAAGGACAAGAGATATTTGCCTATAATACCTCCAAGTACAAATGATCTCTCCAATCTATAGCATTAATGTATCTGACATTGCAAATGATAACTAAACTATGATATAAACAACCTACAGAATGTACCTATAATCATGAAACACCTTTGAGTTCACCCTGAGGAGCAGTCACTGATAAACAACAGCCATTTTGGTAGCCATCAAAAACTAGCTTTAAACCAAATGCAAATATGCAATCTACCTATTCATTGCAGCTTCTGGGTACCTTCGCCATAACCTTTTAACCATAATGAATAAAATGCAATGATTGAGCATAATTTCCAAAAACTTATGAAATAATATTCAAAAGAAAGTCAGCTCTATGCAGCTCTGCCAAATCCGAACAAATCTACACTGCAAGCATCTTTCATGATATTATTTGCATTTCAACAGAAGAGACTTTACCTTCTCCTCTTCTTCACATTTAGGTTTTAATAAACAAAGAAAAAAGGGGCCAAATGCCTTTTTTCCACAACACATTGCAAAAGTTCATATTCTAGTCAGGTAGACTATGATACATCGCTGACAACACACACATTTATATGCTAAACTTTCCATCAAAACCAAAGCAAATTTTTCACACTTACCCCTTGTTCTAAGAAAAATCTAAGAAAAACCTAAGGGAATATATGCAATTTCAGGTTTTGAGTGTTTTAACAGTATCTTTTTTAAAAATGCCTTACATACATATTGTCTAAGTCAATATTGGCACAGGAATATATTTTTGTATTAATCTCGGCAAACTTCATTCCTCTATATCTGGTATGACATTGTGCAAAATGAAGCTCACAAAATTCTGTACATGAGCATTCACTGAAAAAGTTCATAATCTCCATATATTCAGTAAACATTCTAATTATATATTAGGTAGAATTTGAACTTCCTATAATTCAGCATTACTATTCAAAGATATCTTCCTAAAGAAAAACAGTAAACCATTTTGAGAGCATGTCTTAAAGGCAAAGGTTTTGATTATATACATGAATCAAATTACCTACTTTAATCATTTGTTATATTAACATTTTCTTTTATCTTTTTTATCTGTAACTAGCTGAGTAAAAAAAATGCAGAAAACAGGCACATGAAGTTTCACTAAATACAACCAGTTGGCATCAGTTGACCAACAATAATGCTAACATTAATTTACAGCCTTGCTTTTATTATCATTATCATCATTCTCAATATCACCATTATTCTAACTGGCTATTCAATAATATTTTCTTCTAACATACGCCTAATTGACCACAACCAGGTTCATTATTCAGGAATTATCTGGGAGAGGAATAAAATATATAAGTTCCTTTAATGTCCTTCAGAGGGCAAGCAATCCCAACGATGGTGGACTTCCGGGGTGAAGTTGACAATGCGCACATGAGTTGCTTGATACTTTTCACGCTTCGGTGGGATGGGACACAGACGGTAAGTAACTTCATCTCCTTCAAGTGGAATGTATTCTCCTTCAATGCTTGGGGGAAATAAATGAAGAATTAAGACATTAAAGAAACTATCTTGTGAATAAGAATATATTCATAACAAACAGTAATCAATGCATCTACAAAAATATGCATGAAAGCAGTTGATAATATCGAATAATGTATAGTTCACACATCTTTCTTAGATATCTAGATTATTCAGAAGCAGAAATTATGTTTGTAAACAAAAAGGAAAAACAATTTTGTAGTAATAAAATACTGCTTTAGTAATATATGTTAATACACAAATAGATGACACTTATTTAGGTTATGAGATATGGATAATTTCAGGCAAAAAATATAAAGAAAATTTTAAAATAAGGGAAAATTAAAAACAATTAATCCTTTTAAAAATTCATAAACTTGTTTCATTAAGTGTTATCACAATTCTCATCCAGAAGAGAGTAGCAACAGGTAGTTAAATCTAGTTTGTTCATATCAATCCATTAAAAAGTTCAGGTTAGATCATAAGAGAGAAAACATCAACCCTTAAAAAAATATATATATATACATAACCTAGGTCAATTAAAGAATCTCGAAAGAACTCACACAATTTAGTAAATGAAAAAATGACTGTCAGAGGTAAAAGGCTGTATTACATACATGCAAGAGACACTGAAAAATAATTTCCATTTCCACTCACAAGCTAAGATCAATTGAAAGAATTTTTTTCTGTTCAAAACAAACCCTTAGCATGCATTAAGACAACACAATTAGGCACCAATCCACCAATTTGTTGACATATGTGACCTTGGCTTGGTTGCAACCCCAGGCAAGGACACCACCTACTGCAAGTGCTGAAAGATGACCAAAACTTCACTAGAAATCCCTGTCATTGTCTCAGTTTAGCAGTCGTAACTCAGCCTCTTTATTTTTTACATTCTGGATTAACAAAAAAGACATCTAATGACTCAGAAAGTAACACAAGTGATGGTGAAACAATCTAACATGAATTATCAATAATGCCTCTTTAAAAATCTTGTTTCCTCATCAAATGCAATACAGGTCAAGGGTAATGTTGCAGCATCAAAATAGTTCTCAAAGTACATACAGTGAATACCAAAATAATAGCCAGAGGAAATACACAAATGAAAACAACTAACTGCTACATTCTTTCATAGTGTACAGCAATAATAGAGTCCATAGGATTTCCTTTCCTCTGTGAATATTCTTCTACATATTAACCGATTGCTGCTAGGAACTTAAAATTCCCACTGCAGTTGCTTTGTGAAGTGTGTTTACACACAGATGCCTTCACAAGTGTTTAGTCACTAAGGAGCCAATATAAAGTCTCCACAACATCACCTGACTTCTATTTCCCTCAAGTTTTCAACCCTTACAATCCACATGACATGACCATCACATCATGAAAAAATTTTGGCTTGAGGGGCAGGATATGTAAACATGCCATCATGACTGTTTTGGCGGAAGACCAGGGTGACAGGAAAGATTTGCCACAAGTGCACAAACCTTTTGGAGAGGAATTAGACTAATTTGGTTTAAAAATCAATAAACAAATGTGGAATGTAGTGTCGATGAGCCATGACAGGAAGAGCCCCGTGCAGCCATGACCAGCAGTGTAGATTGTATTACAGAAAAATGGGTATTATGAAAAAAATAATTAAATATACAGATAACAAAATGTTACTTATTGTTATTATTCCTGCACTGAGTTATAGACTAACTAGATAGATGATATGAAGTCTGTGCAAATCAAATGGCAGATATGGACATTGGAAAATGGCAAGACTAAAAACACAAGCATAATAATAAAAAAGAAAAAGTAACATTCTAATGGGGAGGTAGAGAGTCTTGTCATCACACATGAATGTTTGCTTGCAAACGGCCTACAAGCCGCGCAACCATCAGAGCGTAATATAAAGTAAAGATAAATCAAGTAAATGGGTGAGATAGGTAGGACTAGTGATTCGACTCATCTCTGACTAAGCACTTGTAGAGCCATTTATGGGCAAATACAATTAATAAACTAAACACCCAGTGGGCATGCAATGTACGAACATGTCATAACCGGCAGGACTGGGTTTACATAATTCTAATTTGGAAAATTCAATGTGCCAAGACCCTTTCATGATGATTATTGATCAATGAATAGAAGGCCACACTATAATTACAATTACAACAAAGTTTGTAAATGAATGAAATAACTGAGTAGCATTCACTTCATGAATACCTAACAGCAATAGTTCATTTAATCAATGTCCAATTACAATTATGAGAATATAATAAAATTTTCTCAAAATGCCCTTTTACAAGATGTATGTTAATTTTACATATATGAACTATAATAATAATGACTTTAAATCTAAATATCAAAATCAACTTTCTTAAAATATACTTTAAAATACCAATAAAAACAAATTGATGACAGAAGTAATATACACTTCCTTGCAATTCTACAATGGATATCGCATGATAAACTTAGTAAATATCAATGGAAAATGTATCAGCCACAAGATTTACCCTTCATACTGTATGATGAGATGTCAGCAACTATTATTTAAGTATGTACTGTAAATTTATAAGAATTAAAAAAAAAAAAAAAATGAGAAGGCTGGATTGCTCTCAAAACACATGATGAAAATGCTGTAATACAATTAAACTACCTACTTCTAATGAGACATAATTCTGAATGGGAGCTGAACATTTAAAATTCATTCAATGAAGATATACATTTATTTTTGCTTTCCTTGCATCAACACTTATCTCAGTACTTCCCTTTTCATCAAAAATCCATTCCCACAAATCAAACAGCTGGAGTGGCAGATACGAAGGGTGTTTCTGACGTTAACATCACTTTCTCTGAAGTCTTGGTTTTGGGCTGTTACAGATTTCTCCTTTAAGGGCATTATAATTTTTAATCTATTTTAAGACAATATGCTTCAGTCATAGAAAAAAGTTTCTAAAACTACATGAAATATCAAAACTTTGCTGATCTGCAACTTCTGCCCATTTTATCTTCATAGCAGCTTTACCACTCACTAAGCATAATTTACTGCACTAATCACTAAATATAAAC